GTGGACCTAGGAAGGAAAGGGTCCCTGCTGTGCTTATGTGCCCCACCATGCCCTCTGACTTCCTGCCCCCTTTCCCTCGCCTCCTTCCCATTTCCCTGTCCATCTACAGCCTGGGAGCTACTAATAGCCAGCTCTGTTGTGCAGGGAGCACAGAGGTGATAAATAATCTCCAAACAGAACAATTAAGACTGCATGTGGCGGCCTCTAACTCTCCCCCCACCTCACAATATTACCACTCGCTCTTGCACACGACGTCCGGGACTCCTAAGGCAGCGAGAATCCCTCTTCATTAATCAAAGATCAGCTACAATTACACTCACTAATTATTTGCAAAGACTCTTTTGTATTTTCTGTCTCTCCAGCAAAATGCTGATTGGACTCTGCAGAGGCTCCATTGCCCTTGGAGACTGAAGGGAATGAGCATGAGGGGGATGGAAGAGCACTTTGAAAGAGCCCAGTCTTTGGTCTTGACTATCTATCTGGGAACACTGTTTAAGCATACAGGTCTTAACTTCCCCTCAGTGTGCTGGGGGGCATGTGTGTGTATATGTGTCTTCAGAGTGCCTATTAACTTATGGTGACAACATGAATCTCTTAGGGTTTTCTTAGGCAAGGAATATTCAGACGTGGTTTTGCCAGTTCCTTTCTCTGAAATATAGCCTTTGTTGTTGTTGTTAACTGCCCTCAAGTCGATCTCAACTCATGGTGACCCTATAGATGAGACATCTCCAAGACCCTCTGTTCTCCACTGCTTTACTTAATTCCTGCAACCCCTTAATACCTGTGATCTCCTTAATAGAGTCCATCCATCTAGTATGTGGCCTTCCTCTCTTTCTACTTCCCTCCACCTTTCCCAGCATTACTGTTTTTTCTAAAAAGTCATCTCTTCTCACGATGTGTCCAAAGTATGACAGTTTCAGTTTGGTCATCTTGGCTTCCAGGGAGGTTTCCAGTTTGATCTGCTCTAGGACCCACTTGTTTGTTCTTTTGGCTGTCCATGACACTCTGCTCCAGCACCACATCTCAAACGCATTGATTTTCTTCCTGTCATCTTTCTTAACAGTCCAGCTCTCACATCCATACCCTCCCCATTCTTAGTCTTCTTCTAATTTCCTGACTGCAGTCCCCATTTCTATCAATGTTTGATCCTAGGTATGGGAATTCTTTTACTATTTCTATTTCTTCATTGCCTAGGTTGAACTTGTGAAGGTCCTTGGTGGACATCATTTTTGTTTTCTTTATGTTCAGCATTAAGCTAGCATTTGCACTTTCTTCTTTGATCTTCCTTAGTAGGTATTCCAGGTCTGTGAGCTTTTCTGCTAGTACTGTGGTGTCATCTGCATATCTTAGATTGTTGATATTCCTTCCTCCTATTTTCACTCCTCCTTCTTCTGTTTCTAAGCCTATTTTTCTTATAATATATTCTGCATACAAGTTGACCAGATAGGGTGAAAGGATACAGCCTTGTCTGACCCCTTTGCCAATTGGGAATCATTCTTTTTCTCTATTTTCTGTTCTGATAGTAGCCTCTTGTCCTGAGTACAGATTCCTCATCAGGACTATCAGATGTGCTGCACTCCCATGTCTTTAAGGGTATTCATAGCCTTTCATAGTCTGTGCAGTCAAAGGCTTTGCTATAGTCTATAATGCACAATCTTATTTTCTTTTGGAATTCCCTGGTATGCTCCATTAGCTATCATATGTTTGCAATGTGATCCCTAGTGCCTCTCCCTTGCCTGAACCCTGCTTGGACCTCTGGGATCTCTCTTTCCTAATATCCATTGCTAGTATCCCATCCAAGGGCTAACCAGGGTTGACCCTGCATTGGATTTGGTGCTGTTAGGGTATTTAGGCCTGGGGAGGGCATAGGAGTTTACAAACCAGCCCAGCCCCAGGAGCTGTAGGCTTAGCAGAGATCACATCATAGGGGGTGGGATGGTTTCAGACATCATGTTAAGCCAAAAGACACATAACTATTTCAAATCATTCTGCTGCCTGTACAGAGGGGCATTTGGTTGATCATGTTAGCCCTTTGTCAGGTGAAGGTTCTGTTCATTTCCTTACTTTGAAGAGCCATGATTTCATCATGTGGGTAGGCCATCCACCAATGCAGATTGCCACTATTTCAGCACCATCACTGGGTTCTTTCCAGCTATGGTTAATATATCAGCTTGTGTCCATCCTTCTTGTGGTGATCACCTCTATACTTAGATTGGCTGATTCTTAGACTGCAGACATGCAGTTTGCCATCAGAACCATACCCAAAGCTTCACCAATTTGATAGAAGCTGCTAGAGCTTTTGCTTCACTGTCATAACCTTTGACAGCCCAGTCTCATCACCATGCCATAGTGGAGTAGCAGAGTAGGATTTTATGGAGGTTCATTCTCATGTAGCTTCTGAAATGTCACTAGCCAATGCTCAATAATTTTTAAGCAATAAGGGCCAGAAGGTTGCTTTCTTATTAAAATAAAAGGTACAGTTCTCTAGATGTAGAGAAACACAGTGTTGTGACTTATTTGCATATGTACATGTATTACCTGTCTTTGTGTGCGTGGGAGTGTATAAATGTTTCTGCAACCTTTATAAAATATTTATAAAAGGTGTACGAAAGGGCAGCCAGCTTGTTCTTAGGCAGAAATTTCAAATGTTTGGGGCTTATTAGCTTCAGGGGAAAATATAATAAAGAGTTATAAAAATATGCATGCAGCAGAACAAGAGAAATCTTCCCTCTTCCCACTACACTAGGTTACAAATGAAAGTAAGTGGCAATAGATGTAAGACAAAATGTTTGTGCACACAACACATAGTTAACTACTTGAATTCACGGTCACAAGATCTGTGAATCCCATTGCTTTTATAAATAAATTGGACAGATTCATGGAGGAGAGAGGTCTGTCGTCTGCTCTTGGGTGCGAGAATCTCCTGGAATGGCATGCTGACACAAATTCAGATACAGCATCATACAGACTTTTAGTGTAGAGCAGATGCCACTAGAGTCCACAGTTGTACAACCAATTATACAGCCAGCACCAAGGCTCTTAGTTTTCCACCTACACAGGGAAAAAGAGAGAGATATGTGTAGTTGAGTGATTGGCTGTGCCCTTGCACAATCTCGGAGAAAGCACAACCATCATCCCAGGTATTTTTGTGATAGCATAGTGCCCCAGCAGTTACTGAGGGCCAGCAGCAGTGAAGGGCTATTGCCTTAATGACCTGATGGTGGACTACTCAAAGGTATTTAGTTGGCCACAGTAGAGAATGAAATGCTTGATTTAGTGATCCTTCTTAATAATAATAATTAATAATAATAATAATAATAATAATAATAATTAATAATAATAAAATTTATTGATATACCGCCCAATGGTTGCCCAATCTGGGCGGTTTACAACATAAAACCATTACAATAACAACATATCCTACCCCCCTTAAAACAGTATTAAACAATAACATAGTTAAAATCCTAGTAACAAATTAACAAACAGTTAAAATAGTAGAGCTATCTCGCGTTCTTCTGATTTGCAATCCACAATTTTAAAATCCATATAGACTAGGTGTGGGAACCTTGTGGCCTTCCAAATGTTGAACTGCAAAGCCCAGCAGCCCTAACATAGCCAATAGTGAGAAGCACTGGGATTTGCAATTCAGCAGTTTCTGGAAGGCTGAACATCCCCCTCCCCTTGTATAGGTCAATTGAAAGCAATATAATAGGCCATTGGTTCTCAAGCTTTTTATCCTTGTGGCCCCCTTTACATCTACATACAGATGTCACCCTCCCTCTTTTGACTTTGTAAGCGAGTTTAAAAAATTGTTTGTTTAGTGTGCATATCTTCATTCACACATTCATGTATATTTATGAATATATTCATACAGCAGCATCTCATCCTGAGAGCTGGGACATGGGACATGTTGAGGAAGAAGAAGTAGCAGCCATAATCCAACAATCTTCCCCACTATTCTCCTCCTCCTTAGGCAGAAGCAGTTGCTACAGATGCCCTCATTCTCTTTCCCTCCAGGACAGAAGTAGTTTAGGAAGTGGAGAAGGAGGAATCAAGGCTTCCAAGTCTTGTGCTCCCCTTGAGCAACTTTCGCACCATCCCCTCGGGGTCTTGCCCCACAGTTTGACACGCCCCAGTTCTTATTCAGTAGACCTACCTCTGAATCTTAGAGGGAGAGAGATTATGAGCAAACTGTCCCCTGTTGTGATTTGGTCTCACTCTAATCCCTTCGGTTATGTATGTAGGTACACTCTTCATACACATTATGGCATGTGTTAGGACCACATACCACACTCAGTGCTGCCATTTTCATCCATTTTCATATAGCATGACATATTTTCTATTAAGAAACCCATGTGACATTCTGTGGCATAAAATATTATTATATTGGACTATATAACCCAGGAGGATTGGACATGATTGAATGGAGTTGTGGCTGATTTGTCACCAGCTACAAATGAAGAAATAGCCAGTCCATATGTCTTGAACAGGAAAAGTGGCAGGGCATATTAGCAGAGTTTTTACATTAATTTTGAATGTTTATTAGCTTGCTCTGAGTTGTTGTTTTATTTGCTTGTTTTTTAGCCTAGTGGGTTGCATACCATGGTGGTTCATAACAGTGGGGCATTCAGTGTGCTTGGGACATAGCATGAACTTTAAAGAAGCTATCCATAATGATGAACTTATTCTGGTTTAGCACTTCAGAAAAGTCCTTTAAAGTCTGAGTTAAAATCCAGAGCAGGTTAATTGCCTCACTGACATAGGTGTCACCAGCTGCCACTGAGAGTATACATTACTTCAGGTAGTCTTTGAAAGTAACATGAATAAGCTAGAGAAGAATTTTTTTGTCGTGTGCTTTCAAGTCATTTCTGACTTAGGGCAATCCTTAGGTGAACTTATCATGGGATTTTCTTGGCAAGATTCATTCAGGTGAGGTTTGCCATTGCCTTCCCCTGAGGCTGAGAGCTTGTGAATTGCCTGAGGTCACCCAGTAGATTTCATGGCTGAGCAGGGAATCAAACCTTGGTCTCCAGAGTTGTAGCCCAACACTCAAACCACTACTCCACACTGGCTCTCCAAGAATAGTTAAAGAAAAATCCTATGTGCAGTGTCATGGCTGTGGAACAGGAAATGACAAGGAGGCATAGCAGTGGATAAATAGAAGAGACTGTGGAGTGAAAGAGGAAACAATTCTGGCTGCAAAACCTTGGAAATTGCACTTTTCTCTCAAGAATAAATTCACGCCTGTCTCCTTCTTATAAAAACTGCCCTCATGAGTACTGAGTTCATCTCCAGACTAATGGCAGAGGCTCCGTAGCACATTCTGGATATGACCATTTGCCATAGCAGTTATCTGTAGTCCCAGCATACATTAAATATTTGAAGGGATGTCATATCGAGGAGGAAACAAGCTTGTTTTCTGCTGCTCCAGAGACTAGGACCCGAAACAATGGATGCAAGCTGCAAGAAAAGAGATTCCACCTCAACATTAGGAGGAACTTCCTAACAGTAAGGGCGGTTCGAGAGTGGAACACACTCCCCCGGAGAGTAGTGGAGTCTCCTTCCCTGGAGGTCTTCAAGCAGAGGCTGGATGGCCATCTGTCAGGGATGCTTTGATTGGGAGTTCCTGCATGGCAGGGGGTTGGACTGGATGGCCCTTGTGGTCTCTTTCAACTCTATGATTCTATGATTCTATGATTCTATGATTAATGCCCTTATAGCTACATGTCCAGGAATTTGTAAAATAACTAATTGACCCATTGAAGGGATGCTGTGGAGCCAAGCCCAATTGTCTGAAATTAAGTCCAATGAAACTAGTTCCTTATATACATGGATGAGTATATAGTATTTTATAGAGTACAAGAGAAGAGGTCCCTGCTCCAAGGAGCTTACATCCTAAAATTGAACACAAGAGAAGCAACCGGGGGGGGGGATGTGGAGGCAGGGGTAAGCCAGGGAGCAGCACACAGTTGTTTCAGTTTGTGCATGCTTTTATTTTAGAGTTGGAAGGGAATTTAAGGGTTATCTAGTCCAAACCCCAGCTAATTCAAGAAATTCAGTATTACGAAATCCCTTAAAGGTGACCACCTAGCCTCTGCTTAAAGTCCTTTATAGAAAGAGGCTCCCTATCTTTTAAGGTAGTTTGTTCCACTATCAAACAGCTTATACAGTTCAAAGACATAGCCGTGAGTCTGGAAAATCAGTATGCAAAGAGATCTTGTAGCACCTTTAAGACTAACTTAAAGAAAGAAGCTGGTAGCATGAGCTTTTGTAGAGTTGAGTCTACTTCCTTAGGTGCATGGTGAAACGGAGAGTTCAGAGATAATAATAATAATAATAATAATAATAATAATAATAATAATAAAATTTATTTTTACCCCGCCCAATGGAAGCCCAATCCGGGCGGCTTACATATTAAAAATACACAAATACATCAATAAAATCCATAACAATAAAAAATAGAAGATACCCCCCTCCCCTCTTAAAAAAGTATTAAATAATAATATATTAAAACTAATAACTTAAACAATTCAGTTTAAAAACCCAATACAACAAGTATAAGAAAAAGCCTGAACACCACAATCCTCACCATCAAATTTGATGGGGCCACGAGAGGATCGGCTTGGTGGGGCTATGTCCAAGGTGGGAGCCACTAGTCCGGGAAGGCCTGCCGGAAGAGATCCGTCTTGACCGCTTTTTTAAAGCTGTCCAGAGATGTTAAAAGACGGATCTCATCCGGCAGGTCGTTCCAGAGTTTAGGGGCGATAGACCTATAGAAGCTGGTTGTGTGTGAGAATCTCAATTGTAATTGTAGGTATGGAGATGAGGTGACAAGTTCAGTTTTACTATGGTCATTGGGGGACAAAGGCAGGAGAAAGGATGTTGCCTAACACCAGGAGAATAGATAACCATATGAATGAATATCAGAATGTAGTGCAGGAACCAAAGAGATGTAATAAACTGGTCAAGGATGCCCTCAGCGAGGGTTAGATAATGTTGAAATGTGTGTAGTGTGCCAGGAAACCACTGTCTCTGTTCAACCGACTGCTGATGGACTGTAGTCTCTGGATACATTCCAACTGATATTTTTCTTTCCAATTTTCCTTGTAGTTCTTTTGTTCAAGGACTGCTGTTCTTATATAGTTGACCTTCCATATCTACAGATTCTTTATCCACAGATTCAGCCATACATGGCATGAAAGTATTTAAAAAACGATGTAAATTCCAAAAAGCAAACCTTGATTTTGTTATTTTCACTATGCCATTGTATTTAAAGGGACTTGAGCATCTATGGATTTTGTAATCCACAGGGAACCCTGGGACCAAACCCCACCAGAAACTAAGAGCCCACTGTACCGCTAATAAGTTCCTGGTGTGGCATAGTGGTTTGAATGTTGGACCTTGACTGTAGACCAGGGTTTGTTTCCCCGCTTGTCCATGAAACCTACTGGGTGACCTTGAGCAAGTCACATGCTCTCAGTCTCAGGGGAAGGCAATGGCAAACTTCCTCTGAACAAATCTTTCAAAGATGATAAGGTGATAGATTCACCTTAGGGTTGCCATAAGTGTAAAATTACTTGAAGGCACATAACAACATTTAGTCAAAAGTCCTCTTTCTTGTAATTTGAACCTGTTGGGTTGGGTCTTACTATTGGTGCAACAGAAAATACGTTTTCTTCATCATCTATATGGCAGCCCTTCAAATATCCAAAGGCAGCTATCATAGTATCTCTTCTCCACACTAGATGTATCCAGTTTATTCAGCCTTTCCTCATCTGGTTTAGTCTTCAGGTTCCTCATCATTTTCATTATCATTTTCTGGACATGATCTAGTTTGTCAGTATCTTTCTTAAATTACAGTTCCCAGAACTGAACACGCTATCTATCCTACAGTGAGCTCTACAGCGTACCTGTGTTAATTCAATCTAGAGTTGTATATTAGTATTTTTAGCTGCTGTGCTGCACTGCTGCCTTATAATTGAATGGTAGACTATTAAAACATCTAGATCCTTTTCACATGTTCTGCTGTCAAGCCATCCTCTATCTGTGCAATTGCTTCTTCCTACCTGAATGCAGAACTTTGCATTTATCTCTGCTGAAATTCTTTTCTTTCCTTTTTTTTCTTTAAGTTTTGGCTGATTTCTCCCTCCTGTCAGGATTATCTTGAATCCTGTTCCTGACTTCTAATATATTAGTTACGCATCCAGTCTGATGTCATTGCAGATTTGATGATCATTCCCTCTACTTTTTGTCCAAGTCGCTGATAACAATATTTGCCATTCTGTCCAGGGCAGAACTTTGCACCAATCCATTTGTCATTGGGCTTCAGGTTGACAAGGATTGTTAATGGGCACTTTTTGAGTATGGTCCCTCAACCAGTTACCCATCCATATAACAGTAGTGCTGTCTAGCCTACATTTTACTTGCCAACAGGAATATTACAGAGGAAGGTGTTGAAAACTTGATGAAATGAATATATCCTGTATATACAGAGAATCTGCAGATTGATTCTCCTGAGTTACCAGCTTACTAACTCTGTTGAAAAAAGATATCATGTTGGGCATGATTCATTCTTGAGAAACCTTTCCTGGGTCTCTGTGCTTTTAAAATGTTCATAGCTTAATCATGTAGTGATTTGTTCTAAAAATTTCCAGGTATTGATGTCAAGCTGACCCATTGGTAGTTGCCAGGATCCCCACCCCACCCCATACAGCTCAAAGATGAGGAAATGTTTTGCCTGCCTACCTCTAGTCTGGCAACATTTCATATTTTCTCCAAGAATTCTCAAAAATTATAAATTAAACCTCCAAGTAGGATGTAGTTTTTCAAGTCCTGAAAACTTGAATTCACTCAGTGTGGTTCCTTGTTCCTATACCACTTATTTACCTATCTTAAGCTGCACCTTCTTCCATCCATCATTGGATTTGTTTTTGTATCATGTAATACAGTTTCCCCTGTAGGCAAAGAATAAAATGGGTGGAGAGAGGGAGCCTGCTCCCACCTTTTGGAATTCGCTCCAGTGAGAGGCTCTCTTTTCACTACCAGGCAAAAACCTTTTTTTCCAAGTGGACTTTTAATATGAAAAGGTTTCTTATTGGGGTGTTTGCTTTTGTATGTTTTTAATGGTTTTCTAATGTTTACTTGTTATATTACTGTGATGTTTTTAATTCTGTTTTTTAAATTGTACCATTTTAAAAGTATCTTTTGTGAACTGCCTTGGGTCCAATTTAGGAGAAAGGTGGCATATATATAAAATAAACAAATAAGGCAGTGAGAGTTAATCTTGTTGTGTCTTCTTTGTGTCATCCTCCAGTGTCATCCCCATCTTCATCTTTTAATGGACCTACTACTTCCTTCTTCTTTTTGCTCCAAACATAATTTAAAATACCCTTTTTTGTTTTTTTAAAATAATACCTCACAAGCTTAATCTCATTCAATGTTTCAGTCTCCTGATACTCTCCCTACAAGGTTAGCTATTGATTAGTCCTTGTCCTTGGTGGCTTGGCATTCCTTCCTTTTGCTATGTGTGTCCTTTTTGAATATGAACACATCAGAAAACTCTCAAAACAGCCTCCCCAGTTACTTTAGATGCCTCTGATTGTTCTTGCATGTTGCAATGCTTTGAAATTGGCCATTTTAGAAATTCCCATCCATTTAGAACTCCATTCTTGAGTGTTTTTACCTATAAGATCACATTCAGTATTTCTTCAAACTTATTCTTCCTCAAAGCCTAGCATGCACATCTTGACTACATTCAGCTTTTCCCTTTCCTCATTATCATGAATCCCATGATAGCACGGTGGCTTCCACCCAAAATTCCCACGAATAAGCCAGTGTGTTGTAGTGGTTTGAGTATAGGACTTGAACTCTAGAGATCAGGGCTTGATTCCCTGCTTGGTCATCGGTAACCTTGGATGAGTCACACACTCTCAGTCCCAGATAACCCTGTGATAGGCTTACCTTTGGTCACCATAAGTCGGAAATGACTTGAAGGTGCACAACAACAACAACAAAACCTCTCAACCAGACCTTTCCTGTTTGAGATGATCTCAAGGGTCCTTTAAGGTCTGGT